CCTATGAAAACAGTACCCTTCAGTGTTACAATGAAAACCCACTACACTGCTGGTATTATAAAAATGTAATTTTCTTTTTCCTTTTAGACAATAATAGCCCCAAATTGTGGCAAGCCTGTTGAACTTAACTAGTCATTTCTAACCAGGAAAGATTATTTGAAGAGCCGATTGCTGAGCTGTTTGGCTGTGTCTGAAAAGATCCCTTTCCATCCCCTAATTCGTCTCAGAAAATAACATCCCACCCCTGTAGAGAAGGGCCTATGAGTCACCAAACGGTGTACCTCCGCTCATGACCAAAGATTGCACTGGAGAGAGAGTGCCGACAGGAATCATAATTTGCCACTTTCCAGTGAAATGACAAGCTGAGAGAGACAGACACACAAGCGAGTGAGGCCGAGGTAAGCTGCAGGAGACGCTGATGATTTATGTGCACATGTGCTGGCATGTCTGAGTGGTATTGGTGGGGATGGAAGTAGGAAATTACAATTATTCTCTGACTTAGTAGATTTGTGTGCATTTATATTGTACTTTGTTAGACTTTAGATTAATCTAACCATATTACAGAGGGAAGAAACACTTATCTATGCTTAAGGAATCAAAGCGATCTTCTTCTACACCAAGAGAGCCACAGAGCTCTTCGCTGTATGTCTCAACATTGTCAAGGAAACAAAACAACAGCAGCAAAAACAACCTTTTAATATGAACAGTGGCTGGCACCACTGGATGGTCATAATTACTGTGACCATTGCAAGAACTTCAAGCTTGTTGCCTTTGAAATGGTTGTTTCAAAGACAGGGAGCGGGTCTGTGGCCACCCGTAGTCGGTTGCCATCCTTAAAGAGGCTTTGATCTGTCAAGATGGTGATAAAATGGCAATAACACAGTCAGTCTGCTATAAGTTTGTGACTGAACAGGGTGAAATAACATTTTTCTGAACTGGTGAAAATTGCAATTCTGTAGCCGTCTGTTTCAAATACACAGAATTTCACATCAACTAGAAAGTCATATTAGACTACTGTGAAAAAGCACTTCCCCCTTTCTGATGAACCTTTTTTTGCATATTTGTCACACTTGTATGTTTTAGAGCAGCGGTCCCCAACCCCCGGGCCTCGGACCGGTACCGGTCCGTGAGTCGTTTGGTACCGGGCTGCGAGAGTTGAGGCTCAGGTGTGAAATGTATAGTTTTCAGGTTTTTTTATCGGTTTTCAGCGTTATTTTGTTATTGTTTTTATCGTTTACTCGGTTTTCCTTGGTCTTTTCACGTGTGTTATGAATAAATTTTCTTTTTTTCGGTACCGGTACTAGTTTTATTTTGTTGTATTTATCCGCGACACCTTAAAGGCCGGTCCATGAAAATATTGTCGGGCATAAACCGATCCATGGCGCAAAAAAGGTTGGGGACCGCTGTTTTAGATGATCAAAAACATTTTAATGTTAGATGATAATAACCTGAGTAAATACAAAACGTATCATTTTTTTGGAAAACCAAGTTAAATTTCATTTGGCACACATAGGCCTGATTACTGCTACATGTGTTGAAGGAATAAGTCGCTTAAACAGAACCTGTCAGACAAAGTAAAGTAACCTAAACGATGTCAAAAAGAAACACATTGTGGCACAAAAGAAACTCAGGAACAGATAAGAAAGAGAAACAAAGTGGTTGACATCTATGAGTCTGGAAAAGGTTATGGCGCCATTTCTAAAGCTTTGGGACTCCAGTGTGTCACGATGAGAGGCTTTATCCACAACTGAAAATGTAGTCAACCTTCCCAGGAGTGGACGGCCTAATTACCAATTACAAAAATAATCCAAGATCGTACTAATGACTCATCCAGGAGGTCGCAAAAGAACCCAGAACAATATCTCAGCTTTCAGGATGGGGTTATCAAACATAAGGCCCCGGGATGGGGGGGCTAAAACATTTTGAACTTTTAACTTTTTCTTAATTTTACTGCTTGTCCTTCTACTGAAACTTCCACTAAAAAGTCTTCCTGTTTAGTTTGCTTTTTCACTTCCTACAATAGAAATGTCTTTAAAAAAGTGTGTCCAGAGTAAAATTACAGGACAGTCTGGGCAATGAGCTCCCAAGCACCTTTTCTGTAATTTCACGCATATGTTTCGTGCAATCGAGTCCCAGATTTCTTTCATTAAACAAAGTAACATTTCTTCATCGTGTAGTAAAAGTAAGACGTGCTGTTGAAATTACATTTCTTTTTCTTACGTTGAGAAAATAAGGATTTAAATGCTATTTACACTGAAAGAAAGAAAATTGTTACTAGTTCGGCCCACTTAAACACAAAGTGTGCCCCCATTGTAAAATAAATAAAACACAGCACCACTACATTAAATAAAAGAGCTTTCCGAGGGAAAATGCGCGTGTCAAGTTCTGCTTTACCTTTCCTATATTTAAGGATAAGCTATGCAGTTCAATAACAAATAAACACTCAAAGCAATCATCGATTGATGTTATTACCTACACAGAAAGCTCCACAGATTAAACGTCTACATGTCTCATACTTTCTGGCATGACCGAGGCAGTTTGTAACTGAGCCACATACATCATAATATACAGACGACTTAATGGTACATCCAAGACTTTCTCAGGTTTATTTTATATTTATATTTTGCAATTGCACCTACAAGTCAGTGTGTTTATATATAACAACTCACAAATAGCTGAACAAATCCATTAAAGAAATGTTCATACCCACAGATCATGGCCATAAGCAAATACAGCAGCTATAAGAAAGACGAAAAAGAAACACCTATATTATATTAAACACTCGCCCTGCAGAGTTCTACTTGTCAAGTAGCTGGAAGGCAGGACGTCAATACATAACTTTGATTTTTGCTTTAGGCAGTAACTAACAGTGAAGTGAACCAGCTCTGAAAGACCTAAAATATTGCCTGAATGCCTCAGGTGAAAGAAAAGAGCCAAATAAACTTGAGAAATTGTTTTGTTTTGACTCATGACGATACAGGAAGTACACTGAAAATATCTGTATGTTTGTAAATGTCAAACCTTTCACTCACCTCTGGCATTCGCTGGCGTGGAGAACCAGGTCCTGATTGTTCTTGGCCCTGACAGTGAGTTCGTGCTCTGTTGGGTTGAAGATGTCGAGCAGTAGATGACAATGGCGAGTGCTGTGGACACAGAAACAAGAAGTGACTGTATATTCTGCACCATGCTGCCGTCAGCAGTTTTAGCATTTAAGAAATGCTGCAAATGTTAGGAAGAGGTCCCAGGAGGGTGCTGGAAAAACTCTACTATAATGCCATCCTCACAGAAACATCGAAAAATCAACTTATATTATAGTCAGTGTTGGGGAGTAACGGAATACATGTACCGCCGTTACGTATTTAAAATACAAAA